AATAGGTTTAATGATGTTTTGGATTCACAGATGGAGTGCACACGACTTTTGCACTCAGATATCGAAGAGGGGGTGATAAATAAATATATACCTACTAGCTGACCCAGCGAACTTCGTACCGCCTTAAAAATAACGGCAGGTGGTAGAAGAGAAAATTTAGGGTTGTATGTATTTTTTAATACCACATTATAAAAAAATAAATATTGTCCAAAATAACATTCCTCCTAACCCATATGAGAACACTACGTTACAATACCCAATAGTTTGAATTTCGGCGCGAAAGCGCAAAATCAGATTTCAGAACACTATGTTAGAGGTGGACAACCATTATTTATTTATTTAAACTTTATTGCCACAATTACAAAAAAGGACAAAAGGCGGACTTAACGCTACAAGCATTCTCTGCCAGTCAACCTTTAGGCATAAAGAAATCCACGAATGCGGCTATAATAATAATAAAAAAAGTGATTTACTTTAAACATACACCAGTAAAAGTAACTACATAAATATTTATTTAAAAATAAACCTAAATATACATGCATAGAATACATTTAAATATATTACTTATATAAATATTTATAATATATATATATATATACATACACATACATAGACACATAATTATTATTAACACCGTTTATAAAATATATTGATGATGAGACTGTGAAGGGAAATTGTGAGTTAAACTTAACGTTCTTAGCTTTCTAGGAGAAGTTCATGAACATTATCACTTAAGGATATGAAAAATAGATAGTAGCCGATTCTCAGACCCACGGAATATGCAAATAAAATTTCATAAAAATCGGTCAGGCAGTTTCGGAAGAGTATGGTAGGGGTTGGTGGTAGAAGGGCGAAAATTTTGGGTTATATTTATTTTTGTATGATGTATCATAAAAAAAATAAAAAAACTAAAATTGAAAAAAAAAATAGGCGTAGATTAACCTTTATATTTAGGGGGATGAAAAATAGATGTTGTCCGATTCTCAGACCTACTGAATATGCATATAAAATTTCACGAAAATCGGTCCAGCCGTTTCGGAGGAGTTTAACCACAAACACCGCGACACGAGAATTTTATATATTAGATATTTCAACATTCATTTGTCCGTATCGTTTGGCACTATTAAAAGACAAGAAAGAAAGGAAAACATCAACAAATCCATGGTTTGTTGATATCGTAACATAACGTACGTAAATTATCCTCGTTTAATTTAGGTATCTACAGTATAAAATAAATATGATATAACTTTTCTGTTTCAAGAATTTATCTAATGATACTAAAAGTTTTAAGCATTTTTCGTTTCATAACTGTAAAAAAGATTCTTTACGCGAGCGAATTCTGTAACAGATGTTCAGGATTTAGTTATAAATATAGGACTCAATAATAATAATTGTACGAGGTCTCGAGACAAAAAATATATTTTTCAAGTGAAACTTCTTTAGGCACGCTTGACTTGGGGGGTAAAGTGGCGAATGTGTTACGATGCAAAAGCATTACGATAAGTGTCATCGGTGAATCATCGGCAAACAATGAACAATCATCATCATCATCAGCCTATTAATGTCCCCACTGCTGGGGCACAAGCCTTCCCTATGGATGGAATAGGGAGATTGGGCCATGACCCACCACGCGGGCCCAGTGCGGATTGGCGGGTGCTAACGACTGCAGATGCAGCCGGGACCAACGGCTTAACGTGCCTTCCGAAGCACGGAGGAGCTCGAGATAGTAAATTTTTGGTCACCCATCCAAATGACCGACCACTGCGAAAGTTACATAATTTCAACGATCGTAGCCGAGCGCGCTAAGCACTTGCGTCATCGAGCTCCTCTTATGAACAATACCTTGGTGTATTGGCTTGGTGGGTGATAACGGATCCAGTGCTGATTGGTGGGTGATAATGGACCCAGTGCGGATGTTGGTTTTCTTTCTATCAACAAATCTTCAAGGTAAGTTTATGATTTTCAGATCATTGGAACTAATGAAGTTTCACTTCATGCGTGTGGTCATAAGCACACTCCCTTTTTTTATTGTTTCATTTAAAATAGAACAAGTAGCGCAACAAAATGGGTTTCAGTGTTCAACCTTTCACTAAATATCCTACAGTGGTGGCTTTGAAGAGTTTAAATACCTAAATGGATATATATATTTTAAAATATTTTTTCCATGAAAAATAAACATACCTACTGAATTATTGAAATACTATAAAAATATTAAGATTTTTTGAAAAGAAAAAAGTCTAATTATTATAATAATACCATACGGTAATAATATCAGACTATTTTTGCCGACAATATATGTAAAATGTATGAGAATGAAATGAAGAAAGAAGAGAAAGAATACATTGATAGATACATTTAGTTATCCTAAGTCATAATATCCAGAGACAAATTAATATCAAGTGTATGATTGCTAACGAGAAAAGAAATATCGTAGCATTAAAACACCACTGAAAATTAGGACGAGTGCAGATCGTAGGTACTTGACTCAATTCTGTCTGATACGCAACTAGGGTTGCCAACCCTACTATATAATATAGTATCCTACTATAGTAGGGGATCAAATACTTTATTAAAAAAAAATAGTAGGCAAAACTACAATATTTTGCTTAAAGCAGATGTTTGCCAGTAAAAGCTTTCTTTAAAATAAAAATGTTAAAAAAAATGGTAACCCTGTACGCAACTCGAGCCGACCCGCGCTCTCCATTGCACTGATTGTCGGCGGCTTACATAACAACACGTTAACACACACATTGGTTAAGGACGACTCCTAAACACACTCTGCTCCAATATTACCCATGAGCAACTTCAGTCAAAATTATAATGAAATATATACAGAGAGCGCCTAGACAATTTTATAATTTTTACAAAAAAAAGTTGATTAATGTCATGATGGCCACATAAAAACGAATTGCAGTTTATTATTTTTTTCACTCTATTGAAGTCGGCATAATAATTGTGTCCGTACAAATTACGTCACAAAAATGTATGAATCATTTTATCATTATACATTCATCTAGAAATAAACACATCAACATCGACTAAACCTTAACGATACCAGACCAAAAAGCATACGTAATTGAATTATAGGTATATTAGGAAACTGCTTATATGAGTTATGCTTTGTTTAGAATTTGGTAACATTGGAACAGCTATGCGACCTGTATCTTCAGGGAACCAATCGCCTAATAGGATTGCTATGGCCATAGTTATCGCTTTTCATTTCATGTTGTTATTTCTGACCGCCGAAGGTTTTCAAATTCTCACATTCTCTTTAATATTGTTGATACCAATGCAAAAGAAAAAAAAGAGCGCAAGGCATTTGAAAACTTTCGGTCGTTAGAAATAACAATGTGAAATCGTTAGCGATAGCGATAGCCATAGCAATCCGGTTACGCGTTCGGTCCGGTATTGGTTGGCGTAACCTACGACCCGCGCTCAGTTGTACCGACAATATGTGCACTTACATAACCGCAGTGTAACCAACAAACGGCCGATTTACATAATAGCCTTGTGATACGCGGTTATAACCTACTGACGACGCCCACGACCGATGCGGCTTGCTAGCCATGACGCTGTACTTTATTTCAATAATTATTATTACTATTATTTTTTCCACTAATAGGTATTGTTTCTCTGGCACATTTTAACTGAGGATTGCGCTCAAAACAGGTCAACTAGCACTGGGGGTTCAATTAACAAAGTGAAAAATTATTGATCAATTCTTAAAATGTTTATATATTCAAAAAACTAAAATAAAACTATAATATGGATGTAGATTGGATGATATTTTTCTAGTAATTTTATTAAAATTGGCTGAAAGCAAAATAACGTCTCCCGTCTATATAAATAAAAAGTAATGTTGCTAAGCACAAAACTCGAGAACGGCTTGACCAATTTGGCTATTTTTTCATATGTTCCTGGAAGGTTTTTATAGAGAAAAATAATAAAAATTAAGTGAAAAATAATATAAACGATACATTTTTCCTTTTCCCATACAAACCAGCTGTCAAATTTTGACGTTTTGGCATAGTTATGTGTGGAGTCCCAGAACCTTGGATAGTTTTTATCCCAGAAATAATTATTTAAGGGGGTAAAAAACGGAAGTGCGAATTGGTATGGGAAACCAATTAAACAAAGCAGACGAAATCGCGGGCGCCCACTAGTTTTGAATAATAATTTAAGAGTTTGAAGTAATGTCGATTCATTTTATATAAAAAAAAAGTAAAGATAACAATAGCGTCAATTAGTAATAATTTAATTAAAGCATAGTCTAACTTTGTTTTCAGTAAAACACAAAATGAAGAAAACAATATTAAACAGTTGTGTAATAGACTATCAATGACAAACAGGTAAAAACACTACAAAACAACATCACAGCTAGACGTGCAAGCATTAATGACGATAAGAACAAACGAACACAAACAATCGCTTAGCAAAAATATATTTCTAGAGATTTCGTCGAAAAAAATTTATGAGTCAGTAAACCCCCTTACTGACTCATAATTTTTTTGGGTTTATTCGTTATGTTATCATTGTTACTGTAAAGATGTATGAATGCAATATTATATTGTACAATATGATTTGTCGCTGCAGCGTAAGTGAGCAAGCAATCAATATTACGAAAACACATTTATGTTATACCGTGTTGATCACAAAGTAATTTCACAAGAGCAGTCTGCAAATATCATGTATTTACGTGACATTTGTAGTATATGTAAACAAACATATTATATAATTGACGATATAATCTAGAGATGTTTTCAAAAATATTTTAGAGTGATGATAAATTATAAATCTGGATACATTTAGGAATCAATTAGCAAGCTAACGCCACTTATACACAAAATCACACTATATGAAAAGAACTTGAAATCGAAAAAATACAATAAATAATGATAAGTTTTACTGATTTACGTTAGTCATCTGAATTGAAATCATTATTTGCCAACGACGTTGTACAACGAAATTCATAAGTTATATACATTAACATGCTTACTTACCTGCTGTGACGATTAGGGTTTCATCACGACGCCAACTATTCGGGGAATCTCTGTAAGACAATAAATATAAACTTTATTTAAAACTAACTAAATCAACCTTATTCACATCATAATATCAAATAACATATAAAAATAATGGTAAGCTTTTTTTTTAGTAAAATCATTATTACGTCATGTTAAAATTTCCGAACAAAATTCAATATTTAGGTAAAATGTTATATAAAAAGTTCTGTTAAAAATACCTTTGTGTTAAATCGTGTGGCAACATTTTTCTAATTAAATACTGGACGACAGTGTTAACGTGCAAACTTGTCGGAGCCTCTACCCCGCAAGTGCACGATCCGTTGTTTTGAATGCACCTGTGCAACAAAAATAATATTTATATGTAATTCGTGACATACAAAGTTAAGTCTGTAAATTAATTGTTTGAAGTACATACATAGTGCACCGCGTGTGACCGCACTGTCCAGTTACCGGCAAAACAGGAATGTGGTCACAATCCAAGCAATTTAATAACCTTCCATCAAGAGTTCTGTTGCTTCTTGCGTGTCTGATTACCCTATTTGCAACTTGTCGAGCCTCCAACGTAGGAGCTGGTAGTGCAGGAACAGGTGCTGAGTGAACATGCATTTCGTACGGTCCGAATGAAGCTGCATTCAATCCACTGACTCCCACAGACTTGGGAGAAAAATAATTAAGCATTGGTTTTATCGAGTGCAAATCTTCTCTTGTTATTTCTCTACTATTCGTTGGATGTAAACTTTGCGTGTCTGGACTTTCCGAATCTAGGTTAATTGTTTCTAAAGTTTCTAAACTTAACGCTACATTTTCTGAATTTCCAGGATTGAGATCAGTAACATTGTTTTCATACACTTCATTGTTATCGTAAGGCTCTGGAGACATTTGTGTGCCGCGATCAGTAACGTTGTTTGCAGGGTGTCCATTTTGGTAACTGGGTATTGCATTTGACACAGAGCTGCTGGTAATATCCGTAGATGAAACAAAATATAAGCGCCTACCATCGGCTTCGGGATGGGGAATTTGTCGAACGCGACGCGACGACGAAAATCCGGCTGTAGACGACGGATTAACGGTAAAAGTAACTTCATAGTTTGCATCTCCATCGTCCGTTTGCATTTGAATGTCGGATGTGATTATAATCTGTGGTTCATCAGCTTGCCATTGAGTAAAACGACTCGGATATCCTGCCCCGTCATTCGACGTAATAATTTGGAGTTCATCGTTGTCACTTATAACCGGATTAGAATATACTTCTTGGTTTATGGAATGATTTCGTACAGGCCTTTTGATAATAGCTGACCTACGTCTTCCGTGAGCTTCTATGAGGGTTCTCTGGTCAACGGACTCTTCATCCCGCAATGAAGAGTAATTTGGCTGGTATCTGTCCATGCGCTCGGTGTAAATACGCTCAAGTGAACGATACATTCCTTGATTGCGAGGTTCTAGTGGCATCTCTACTGGTAACTGATCGAGTAAAAGAGTATCGTCTGTAAGTGGTGTCCACGGAAAAACATCAGAGGGTAAAGATAAGTTCAAGTATCGTGGGCTCGTTATTTGCAAGGAATTCCACGTAAGCACCTGAGAACAAAGAAAACTAAGGTCAATAGTTTTAATTATAAATATATGTTTTTCTCTATCTTACATTGTTGTTATATAAAATTATTATATAAATCATGACCTCATGCATGCCTGATAAGACGGAGTGTTGTCAAATAAGCTTATCGTTTAGTTTGGCTCGTGGATAACATTGAGTACTCATAAATATTGATACTAGCTTCAAAGAAATTTACCCTGATAACTTTGCCAAGTTGATTCAACTTTTGAAGTATAATTAAAGCAATTACATTTTCGGAATGTTGTACCTGACTAAAGTCAGAGGTAATAGAATCAAGCTGGCCGATAATTGACGCTCAGACAGAAATCAATGCAGGGTGCGGGTGTTGCCTGGGAATTATCAAGTCCTGTGAGCGAGTTTGCATCGATGCATTCCCTGAATCGAAGCAAGAGCGGTATAGACGCCGTATCAAAATTGAGTATGGTTATCTCTTTCGGGCCAGACGAATGCCAATCGATACAAAAAATACATCACATTAATATAACTACTGCTACAATAACTACATACCGCTTAAAAATTAATCGAAATAATTTGGAGACATTGATGAAAAAACTTAATTAAATATATTTTTACCTGGTTATATATAATTGCTTATCATAATCAAAAGAGAATATAGACAACAAACACCTTACGTACATTGTTACCACTAGTCGCCTCTCTACTCAAGCTAAACATACCAGTAAGAGTAAGAATAAGATGTCTTTTAAAACTAAAATCTTCGTTTGCAACGCTCTATAATAATTATGAACTTAATACAGTAAACGAACCGTAACAAAATGTTTCGTGAATGTTACGAAGTCATAACGGAGTTTACAACAGACCGGTGCCAGCGGTTGCGATAACAGCGTTTCGTTTACGCGACTCCGAAGTGAACTTGGCCCACTGAACGCGGTAACCGGTCGAGAGGCACAGCTCGCCGGCTGCGGACCGAATACGCGAATCGAAGCAGACGGGTAGACGTCGCGACGGCCGGTTTCGAGAGTAATGCAACGACAACGAACCACGTCGACGGGACGCGAGCGAGTCGCACGGCGACTCTCGCTGCACTGCGCCCTCACCGCTACACAGGCAAACACTAGACTATATCTAGGTCGCGAAACCACAAAATATAATGAAGAGAGAATCTGCGAACATGAACCCTTAAATTTTATGTTTCATATTCTAAAATAATTTATCTAAATGCGATTCCAACCGAGGAACAGCGCTAATTAGCAAGCGCAACAGCATTTCGCCGAATTGCGACCGTTTTGAAAGAAAATTTATATTCGTGTGCTAAGTTGCTATTTTTCTCTGTGTCTTAAATAAAATGCTATTTGCTAAAGCCTTGATGAAAAATACTTTCTAACACTACTCGTCTAATTTATAGATTTATGTTATTTCACAATATACAGGATGGTCCAACTAGTGACGGCAACGATTTTTTTTTAGATTCCTCGGGGTATCCGAAAATACCCCATGTATGTTTTTCGATTTTTCTTAGTTTTCGAGTTATATTATTTTCTGTGTATTTTTAATGATATCTGCCAGCGAGGTTTCAAAAATTCATATCTTTTTCGTAGTAGGTATTTTGCAGTCTTTTTTTTTGTGACATAATTGTCTTGAATATTGTTTTAATAAAAAAAATAACTCAGCTTCCTGAAATTACTTAAAGTTACTCAAAAAAGGCTTGAAAGTTGGAACTTTAGTTTTTAGTAGGATTTATTCAAACATTCAACTTCAATTTAAAAATTCAAAAAGGAGTTTCCATAGCTTCTGGTTAAGTTTATAAACTCCGCATGGTTCTAAACTACCAAAAATCATAAAAAATAGTACTTATTCAGCCTATTTCTGTGGTAATTGGCTTCGAAGGCGAACATATCCCGAAAGATGGATCGGGCGTGCAGGGCCGATCGAATGGCCTGCGCGTTCGCCAGACCTCAACCCCATCGATTTTTTTATTTGGGGATTTTACAAAGAGCTAGTTTTCGCGACGGAAAGCAACAGCGAACAAGAATTGAGACAAGAAATTACAGAAGCGGAAAGAAAAAGAAAGCAAGAATATTCAAGTAGCTTTAGACAATTAAAACATAACTTTTTAAGACGTTGTCAATTGTGTATTCAGGGTGGAGGAAGGAGTTTTGAAAATTTACTGTAATAAATAGTAATTTTTCAGTAATTTGTTTGATTTGATTTTTATTCTTGAGCAAGATTTTTAATCTTAGTGGTCAAACCGAAATTATTGTAAAATTACACATGCTAAAGTTATTTTTCAAGTTTAATTTACCATAACAATGATAAAAAGTAGATAAAATAATTTTAAATGCTTTAATCGTGTTTCAATGATTTTTAGCCTATCCGCCTTCGAAGGCCAATTACAACAAAAATAGGCTGATTTAGTAACTATTATTTTATGATTTTGATAGTTTAGAAGCATGCGGAGTTTTTAAACTTAACCAGAAGCTATGGAAACTCCTTTTTGTATTTTGAAATTGAATTTGAATGTTTGAGTAAATCCTACTAAAAACTAAAGTTCCAACTTTCAAGCCTTTTTGAGTAACTTTAAGTAATTTCAGGATGCTGAGTTATTTTTTTATTAAAACAACATTTAAGACAATTATTTCACAAAAAAGACTGCAAAATACCTACTATAAAAAAAGGTATGAATTTTTGAAACCTCGCTGGCAGAAACCATTAAAAATACACAAAAAAATATAACTCGAAAACTAAGAAAAATCGTGGCACATACATGGGGTGTTTTCGGATACCCCCAGGTGCGAGGAATCTAAAAAAATTGTTGACGTCACTAGTTGGACCAGCCTGTATAAACGTTTCTTTGGCCCAATTAAACTTCGAAAAATTATATAGAATCCACCACCTAATATATAGGTAATTTTACATTCCTGAAGCAATTTATGAATATAATTTTATTAGTTGTTAGGGAAATGAAATTTTCGAGTGGTGGCTAACGTAACTTGTAAAAAATCCATAATAAAATAAAAAACTGTGGTAAAAGTTCAATCATACTTTTAAAATAGTCTAATGTAACTAGTGTATGAAGTCATTAAACTTCTCTTTCTGTTCTAGACCTTGATGTAAAAATAGACAGTGAGGTGTTAACCCTCTTTATATCAGGAATGTACATTAAAGAAAACCATTGAAACAAACATCACAAAATTATCCGTTTAATTATGAATATTACCAGAAATATGGATGTTGAAATTTAAGTAAACAAATAAAAACGAACTGAAAACTTGCGATACGAACGGTGAATTGCATAATTGAATCAAACAATATGGTAATTTTGTCAAAATATTTTTTCCCCTAACTGATGTTAGGGGAAAAAATATTACGTATTAAAAATAACGAAGTTTAAGAATATATAATACTTATGGAAACTTGGGTTTGATTCAAAATTTATTACGTAACGAGTACGTATAAGTAAGGGATAAACAAATACAAACAGTTCAACTACTAGAAAACCCTTTTCAACGAACTGACACCTTGCCTTAGGCCGTATACAGAAAGAAAGCCGAAAGCCGATCGGCGCCGATTAGCGCCGATCGGCGCTTATCGGCGCCTATTGGCGCTGATCCTTTTTCTATGGACCGGCGCCGATCGGCGCTGGTCCGAATAATAAATAATTTTTATTTGAATTATTATCCTTAGATTAAATCAATCTAAGTTATAATCTTTTTATAAATCTAATAACTTTATCTTTTATTAACTAAGCGCTAAAATTATTTGTTTCGTACTTACCGAATGGTGACAACAAGTCTTTCTTCTGGAAGGATTGGTTGTTTATGCCAATTGCCCCAATTTTTCATCAAACGGTTTTTCACTAAATCCAAAATGTAATAAAATGTTTCTTGAATCATTCTTGTATATGTATAAAATCTTTGTTCATCAAATTTAATTTTTTTTACAAATAAATGATGGTATTCTCCGAAACGTTTCCTTTCTCTATATATAGGATGTATAGCTGTTTTTCGCATTTTTAAATAAACATTTTCTAACAAAACCATATCATCGTCCGATGAGTCCGACATTTAGCTTGATCTGCTTTAATCGGCTTCCTTTATGTAGGAAGGATCGGCGCCGATAAGCGCCGATCGGCTTTCGGCTTTCTTTCTGTATACGGCCATATAAACGATGAATTGCATAATCATAATAATCATAATCAAAATCATTTATTCAGTTTAGGCTGTTACAAGCACTCATGAATGTCTAGAAGCTACGCCATCGGTTCGTAAATCTACGGCGGGAGACCTTGTTCTGAGAAGAACCGGCAAGACACTCAGCAAGGGCTGTTTTTTTCTCCCTGTTTTATTATTTACAGAGTCGTCAAATTGAAAAATGACTTCAGAGATGATTCATAAAGTCACCTTTCATTACATAATTATTAAATATACATTAATTATTTACCTGCATTTTGATTGCTGTGTCATACAGTATAAATACAAATAGTGTTATTTATATTAAGTGTGACTAAACATTAACTTCAATATTAAGGAAGAAGGGCAGACTCATCTCCGCTGGCAGCACCCGTTCACGAGCATGACGCATGAACCAGTCATCGCTTCGCTCAACCATATTTTAGGGAACGTAACGACCCGCCTCACACGACACCGCCGAAGAGACTATTAAGAGAGCATGACAACCCGTAACTACAACATATTTACTTAAATTAAGGTCATTTACCTGTAGGACACCACAAAAAATTACAACAACAAAGCAATGGAGAAATCACGACCACGCCGTTTTGTCAATCAAATATTCTTAAACAGTCTGATAATCTTCCTTAAGTTATCAACTTTATATACAGCTTTCAAATTTAATTATAGTATTGTCAACACATAATTCATAATTTAGATCATATAGAAATACCCGTTGGAATGGTTGGAACAGTTCATACCCAAGCATTTTTGTCTGTAATATAATCAGACACTTTATAATATACTTTCTTAAGTAGTGTTTTTTAATGGTC